GTCTCATTTACCAAAATTCCATTGCAAAGTTATGCCTGTAGATGGCAAGCAGTGTAACTCACAAATGCTCCTCATTGTTGATTTATTGACGTGACAGCTAAATTAGCATTGGGGCATGGGGGTGTCAGGAAGCCACAGTGTCCCACACTCCTGGACGTTGCCTGCTATTTTTCAGAATTAATCATATCTGAATCACACCTCCAGTTTTCCACTCTCAGATAATTACATGCCACAGGTTTTTCCCTTTTTTATATAATACTGAAAAACATATAAAATTCCCTACTTCCAATTTGGGTTTTTATTTTTGGTTTTGTTTTTGTTTTACTTTTATGGTCATCATTACAAGAAAAGTTGTTGCACTATAAATGCAATCAACTGTCTTACAACATATATCCAGAAGATGGCGATGCATTATATATTATATATACCATGATGACTAAAATTAAGTGATCTGGGTCGCTCTTTATTTTGCATGCAAATTATGTAAGAATATGAGCATGTAGGTGTAAGCAAGTTCAATGACTTATTTCTGCATCCCCAAGTAAATGCAAATTTAATAGAGAACTGTGGATGTTCCTTTTTTAATTAGCAATCAAAGTTAGGAATGAGTGTGTATCGGGAATAGGCAGATAGTGGTGAGTAGAGATGGGCATGAACTGGTATGGCAATGAACCACAATCCACTGGAAAAATGAACCAGTTTGTAGTTTGTTTTTCCGATTCATTCCATCTTGTATTCTGTACAGCTGCTGATACTACAATTCACAAACTGGCCTTTAAATTCATCATAAATTCATCCATCACAAAGGTAAAGGTAAAGGTAAAGGTTCCCCTTGACAATTTTTGTCCAGTCGTGTTCGACTCTAGGGGGCGATGCTCATCCCCGTTTCCAAGCCATAGAGCCAGCGTTTTGTCCGAAGACAATCTTCTGTGGTCACATGGCCAGTGCGACTTAGACATGGAACGCTGTTACCTTCCCACCGAGGTGGTCCCTATTTATCTACTTGCATTTGCATGCTTTCGAACCGCTAGGTTGGCGGGGGCTGGGACAAATGACGGGCGCTCACTTCGTAGTGTGTATTCGATCTTGCGACTGCTTGGTCTTCTGACCCTACAGCACAGGCTTCTGCAGTTTAGCCCGCAGCGCCACCACGCCCCTTCCATCACAAAGACGCAGCCCTAAATCTCAGGGGTTGGGCCTGAAATCTCAGGGAATTCCTATTCCCTGAGATGTTGCAGGCAACACATGGAAGAGAGCAGGGAGGAAATGCTGGTAGCTCAGAGCAATGGTCCCAGACATGAGTAATATCCAGAACACCACTGAGAAGGAAATGAAATGCCTCCTCGAAGAGCAGTGAAGGAGGAATGGAGGACAGGTGGACATGTGGTGGAACATCACAATGACCAATTGAATGATTTTATTTATTTATTTATTTATTTATTTATTTATTTATTTATTTATTTTATTTATTTATTTATTTATTTATTTATTTATCCGGCTTTTACCCCACTCATTTAGATTCAAGCAGATCTACTCCGGGTGGCTTACTGTCCAAGCAATATAAAACAAGAATTAAAACAGACAATATCCAAACAAAAAAAGAGAAGTAAGCAAAGTCCAAGATGGGAAAACACAGGGAACTAAGTGATGGAAGGGGGAAAGGCCTGCTTGAAGAACCAAGTCTTCAGCTTGTTCTTAAAAATTCCCAGCGAGGGTGCCAGGCAAATCTCAGGGGGCAAGATGTTCCAGAGGTGAGGGGCCACCACCGAGAAGGCCTAGTTTCTACTTCTCTCCTTCCGGGCCTCTCTCAGGGTCAAGCCCCTCAACCGCCCAGCCTGGCTAGATCGAGTGACACAAGTAGAGCTAAGTGGGAGCAGGCGCTCTGCCAGGTATCAAGGTCATAAATCGTTTAGGGCTTTATATGTGAGCATTAATACCAATCATGTTTATGGCACTCAGTACAATGAAAAAAAGAGCCCGGAGAAAGAAGACATTGGATATTCTGTTTTGTAGAACTGGGAGACTCTTGTTTTCAGGAACAGAAAAAGAAAAAAATTACTGAGGGTGGGTGGAGTTGGCTGAGACCAGAGACTGGGAAAGCATTACCTTTTTGGACTGCAGTCCACAGAATACCCTGGTCAATGGAACCATGACCATACTTGATGAGTAATTCTGTTCCCAGTCTGCTCTTCCTACGAGTGTGTAAAATCAGAGGCAACTCTGACCTTAGAAAAAGTGCAGAGATAGGCAACATCCTTTCTTTTAAACTCCATCCTCTGCAGCTGGGCCTTAGGATTTATGGAATCACAGTCATCTTTGCAAACGTGAGGGGATCACCTCAAACAGCAGGTGTTGAGGGACAGCAGTGGTAGCCCCAGACAGTTCCTCCTGAGCCTCAGATTAAATGCTGTGTAGAGGCTGGATGCTAGCATTCTCCTGCAGCTGGGTCTTGGGATTTATGGAATCACAGTCATCTTTGCAAACGTGAGGGGATCACCTCAAACAGCAGGTGTTGAGGGACAGCAGTGGTAGCCCCAGGCAGTTCCTCCTGAGCCTCAGATTAAATGCTGTGTAGAGGCTGCCCAGGCTGCCCTGCATGTTTTATGACAGCCAGCTGCCGCCAGGCATGGTGAGGAACATTGTCCCATCACAAATACTCAACAAAGATTCATCTACCCATCTGTTTAGGATTAGATATGAACCAAAGTCCATTTGAAATGTATACGGTCATGAGTCTAGTTCTCAGTGTCTTAGCAATTATCATGTTCTACTAGGCATAGGCTTTGGTGGCTTGTCGTCTATGTCAGGAAGGATAAAGGTTGTTCATTAAAGCTTGTGCCAAACCACAGCTAGTAATCTTCGAGGTGCCACAAAGTTCTTTGATGTTCTTGCTGTGACTGACTTATACAATGGTCTTTCCTTCCAACATATTCATCTGGAAAGTCCGTATCATGTTGGTCCCTTTTTAAAATGTGAACCAAATGAAATTTTCCTATCTACCTGCCAGCTTCTGTGAACCAAATGGGGAGGTGCCATTTTCTCCAAGGTGCCACAAAGTTCTTTGATGTTTTTGCTGTGACAGACTTATACATGCCCTTTCCTTCCAACATATTCATCTGGAAAGCGCGTATCATGTCGGTTCTTTTTAAAATGTGGACCAAATGAAATTTTCCCATCTACCTGCCAGCTTCCATGAACCAAATGGGGAGGTGCCATTTTCTCCATCTCAAGGAGCAAATATCTTGTACTGGTCCTCTATTAGGTTTAAGGCCTTCCTCAGCATAGTTAAGAAGCCCAGCAGGGTCCGGGTAACAAATAACAGAGGAAAATCTCATACTACAGATCCCATTAGACTTCTAAACTCATCAAAGAAGGACCCAAAACTAACAGAGAACTGAATGTACTGGATTTTACAGAATAAAGCATGTTCATCTGGCATTCTAGGATTTTCCCCCCTTCCCTTTTTATTGCCTTTGGTGAATGGCTGCTAGTTTTGTTTTATTCAAAGGCTGTTCCTGCCACCATCAGTCTCTTTTTTCCTTGCTGGCATGAAAGAGTTATATTTTATCAGAACTTTCTCAGTGATGCATTAGAATGACACTTCAGGAGCATGAAGAAAATGAGTATGTTTAATAAACCAGTGAAGACTAAGGTGGTACCTATCCACTAATTTTAATACTTAAATGGATTTGACAGAATCTATGTGGCATAATGGTGTTAATCTTTGATTGGAGAAACCCATGTTAAAATCCTCACAAAGTCACTCACTCTGGTTGGCCTACTTCACAGGGCTAAAGTAAGAGACAGTGATATATGTCTGATTGAGATAACTGGAAGGAAGGCAGAAAATAAATGAAAATAATTAAAAAGGAAAGTTCATGCAGCACATGAAGACATGGCTTACACATACAGCACAGTGAAATGGCTGAATGGATTGTAGTACTTCACAAGTGGGGGAGGGGTGCTTTTAGATCCTCTCCTGTATGAAAAGATAGAAAGTCGGGAACACAGGAAGGCAACTGAACTAGCGTATTTCTTTTTTTTGAAGGAAACTCGGTGTGTTGGGAAAATGGCATTACAGACTTGAAATATAAAGTGGTACGGTCCACATTGCTGCCCCTAAATTGTACTGCCTCCTTCTCCTGTGGGTATGGAACAGCGCAAGCATCAACATGTGCTAAATTATGGGAAAGTTAAATAACAGAAGCCTCTTAATGTAGCAGGATTTTTTTTCCAGATATGGGAGCAACTCTTGTGAAGGAATTGCGAAATTCCTTTTCTATCAAGGTTTTCCAATTGACGTTAGAGAAGGATGTCCAGGTGGCACTTTTATTGTTTGATAAGCTGTACAAGAATGGGAAGTAATATTGGATAGGTCCAGAGGTGTTATTTCCAAGTTCTGCACTTTGTTTTGGTAACTGTTTTTGTATTTTGTTTTGCCTAACAACTTAAAAAAATGCCAGTTGAGATTAAGGTTGGGAAATCAATTGAGCTTCTACTCTCTGTCCAGACTTTCTCCCACATAAATATGTTTTTAATGTCCTTTTCACCCAAAATGTAAGGAAATGTGTGGTAAATACTTCAAAAAAATTGAAATTAAAATCTACCTTATGTATGCTGGGGAAATTGAGTAGATACAATTATTCCAAGTATAGAGAAGTGTTCAATCTGTGTTCTGTATTCAAGTTGACAATAACCTCAGAAGATAACAACTAATTTAAAAATTAAGCACCCTTAATTTTGTGCGAGCAAAGGAATTCAAAACTAGACTTTTAGAAGATAAACACTGAAAATCTTGATCATGGATAGATCCACCAGCTTTGATTTCCTCCATATCGGATTTGTTTCTTTTTGAATTTCTAGTTGTTTCCATTCAAAATACGAAGAGATTTGAGAATTTTGGTAAAATCCTGTAAAAACTAAACTGAAATGAAATTCTTGCTTGTCCCTATAGGGAAAGGGGGAAGGAAAACGCTGTTGTCTTCTCCATTAAACTTGCTTTTTATTGTGGATGTAGAGAGAATTCATCAAATATACATACATTCACATACACATTCACTCTTACTCACACATACATAAATGATGTATAAAATAAAGATTGAGCCAGAGAGTGGGCATAATAGGGTCTTTCACTGATAAGTCAACAAGGACATCACTACAAATACAACCTAGGCCACCATCAAAGAGACGAACACCCCACCTTGCCCCAGGCACAAAGATCTTTTACAGCATCCCCAGCTGGCTTGTGGGAAGGAGACATGGCTTCATTGTACTGTTGTAATCTGAAGAAGAGGAGATGAAACCCAGGAAGAGAATTTTGAAGCTTCTGTATCTCACAGAAGATTAAGGTAGGGAGAGGACATGTCTCCTTTAAAAAAGACTTCAGCTCATCAAGACTTAATTGTTTTAAAAAGTGCAAAACAACACAACAAGAATGAAACGTTTAAAAAGAGACAGACGGGGCGCTTTGGCTGTGGCAAAGGAAGAGTGTCACCACATGTAGGAATCGTCGTACCTGTGGGGAAAAACAAAAAAAAAAAGATAATGTTATGAAAGAGCTGGAGAAAGGAGCAAAGGGACTGTCAGCTCGAAATCAGAGCTTGGACGAGTTACCCTTTTTACTACATTTCCCAGAATCCCCCAGTCAGCATGGTCACTAATGCTCTTGAGCATTATGCTGTAAAAGGTAACTTTTTCTAAACTCTGCTCAAAATCCCTCCTTCAAAGACAAGGCCATCTGTACCTACAAACCTAGAGCATTGCCATACAGCAGTGAAGGTGCCTTTCAAACTATATTTCATTTTCTGTATATCTTCTTATAAAACATCCTAACTGAGCTGAAGAGAGGGCTGAACTCAGAACTTCTAATGCAGTCCATGATGGGTGGAGCAGAAGTAAAGGAGGAGAAGGTCTTTTCTCCACTCCCTGGCTTGCTTTTTTCTTTCTTTCTTGGTATATCCCCCTCATTTGAAACTGAGAGGAAGGAATTAACAGGTGTGGGGGCTGCTATAAATTTACATGGCATGCTTGCTAGCTCATCCTCAACATGCCTCCTTTTCCCCATCTCTGACATCCTAGTTTTGTACTACAGGTTGGCTTGGCAAACATGAGATAGGTGAGCTCACATTCAAATGCAAACCAACCTATTTTGCCACTCCTGCATCGTCTTCCAACAGCCCATCCATTAGGCCAAGGAACTTCATAACACTTGTGGTTATTTTCTTTTTCCTTTTCCCTCCTCCTCTTCTTTCCTTTTGTGTCATATTTTGTCCTGTCTTGTAAGCCTGAGAGCCAATGTGGTGTAGCGGAGAGAGTGATGGACTAGGACCCTGGAGAACTGAGTTTGAATCTATGGACTCTTGCTGGAGAGTGGCAATAATAAAAAAAACCACTCCTTAAATATCTCGCACATCTCTTGAGAACCCTACTAGGGTCACTGTAAGTTGCATGAGATCTTACAGTACATAACATAACGTAAACCAGAAGTTAAGGATTCACTTGTTATTTTCTGCTGACATATCAACTGCCCTCAGAGGCTTTTTTGTCGTAAAACAGGCTATAAACGTTATATACCAACATATATTTCTCCTGTATCCATAGTCATGAAAAGAACCATAATGTGAGATTTCTAGGAATCTTCTGCATATGCCTGCAGTTCAGCATGGGGGTGGGATGAGAGGACAGCATGCCTAGCTATGTCCAGAATCTTGCTTCCCTCAGGAATGAGTAACCTTGAGGTTCTTGGACTCAAATACATCTCTTCAAGGTCAGGTAGGTTTTCAGTCAGGTTGCACTATTAGAAACACTTTTGTTTTTGCATATTAAGTACTCAGGTCATCCATTTCCACTCTAGCAGGGTAATATAGAAAAGAAAATGCATCTCGGAGCATGTAAAGTATGTTCACCGCTTACAGATCAGGGACTGCTGTTAGCAAGAGCAATTTCCAGATCAGAAACATGTGGGTTCTGGACAGGACTGGTGATCATTGATACCTGGTGGTACATTTTGGTGGTCATTACGGACACGGTTCTGATGCTCTGACTCACCGTGATCTGGTGTTGTGGTCATTGCTGCTGCTGCTGCTACTACTGTCTCCAAAAATAAGCTCTGACATCAAGGCCTCTGGGCTGGATCGCTTGCCATACCTTGTGGTCAGAAAGGAATTAGTTAATGAATGTGTTAAGACAATCCTATTTCACCCCTTAGCAAGAAGAGGGGGCTGCCTAGAAGAAAGGCTGGTGAGTACACAGAACAGGACTTCCTCTGTAGTGTTATCTAGATTGTGGGAATGGGCTGGTTTCACCCATTTGGAATTGATGTGATGCTGCTCTTCCACAAACTGGCAATGCCCTGCCTGCAGTTCCCCATCATGCTCACTGCTGGGACAAAAGAAGTTGGGGTGTTCCAGAGCAACAGGGTCACACACAGAGCCAACCTAAAGAGATGAGCTTTTGCTCTAATAGCCTCCTGGATCTAGTTTCCAATTAGGTTTCTAGGAGACGAGAGCTAATGGGCTGTTCCAGGCAACCCACACTAATGGAGAAGGTGGTTAATTGGGCGTTTTACAGCTGGGTTCCTCATTCTCTACTTAAAATGCTGCAGGATACAGCAATCTATGGGTGCCAAGAGGTACACTCTGAATGCACAATTGCACACAGACCATGGGTGTATCTAAGAAGATCATGAAACCAACAAGGGGTCTGACAACAGACAGAAGGCTGCAGATGGGCGCAAGGGTTGTCAATAGAGGGGATAGAGGTCTCAGCAGAATCAAACACTGTCTTAACCCTCCTTTCTCTTTCTCTTTCTCTTTCTCTTTCTCTTTCTCTTTTTCTTTTTCTTTCTTTCTTTCTTGAAGAGAGATCACTCCCAGGGAAGAGACCCTTTCAAGCATGATCAGACACGATCCTTTATCACTGTCTGATTGTATACTTAATATAAAAGGAATCAATACACTATGTCCAGCATGTAACTTGCCTTCACCTGGAGAGTGTTAGCCATGCATTCTTCAGATGGATGCGTGGCAGGGTAGGCAGCTGAGCCCACCCACCACCTACTTCCTCTGTGTAGCAAACACAAAGATCTCCCATTCTGTGCCAACATCGAGGAGGCAGGTTGTGTATATGTCCCTGTGGTAAGTCTGATTTCAGTTCAAAGAGGGCATCAAAGAAAGGGTTGCATCCCTAAGCAAGACATTTCCCTGCCTGAAGTCAAATGCAAAGAAGATGTCTCCTCCCCTCCTCCATTGTACTATGGAAGCACATCAGACTGATGGTGAACAGTGCTTATGATGGAGGCAGCATTCTTCACCTCACCTAAGGGCAATGGGGCTAGTTTAGGGCAACGAGGACAGATTTTTTGGGATGTACTGCTCTGTCCTTCAATAGAAAGGAAGAATCGGGGGGGGGGGGGTTGCGCCCCTTCTGCATCATCTAAGATTTACCATCTGTGGCAACTGCCTCATTCTGCTTCATGGAAGGGCCAGTTCTGAGTTGGAACTGGAATGCATGCATGTGCACATTGCCCACAGGAAAATGGCATCTCCACCCCAGCTCCCAAACCCACCCCAGTGCACACACCTCTCTGCATCATCTAAGTTCTGCCATCTGTGGCAACTGCCTCATTCCACCTGATGGAAGGGCCAGTTCTGAGCTGGAACTGGAACTGGAATGCATGCATGTGTACATTGCCCACAGGAAAATGGCATTTCCACCCCAGTTCCCAAACCCACCCCAGTGCACACACCTCTGCCTTGTCACCAAGTTGATGTAATGCCGAAGAGCCGAAAAGTATTTGGCCATCTCTTCTGGGGAGGCATCATCTCCAGGACTCTCTGGCTTGGGAGGGTAGGCATCGACTAAGGTGCCCAGACAGAACAAGATGCACAGAGTCACGGCAATCATGAGGGGCCAAGGTTTCACTGAAACAACCATCTAGGAGGAAAAGAGAGGAAAGAATGTAAATGGCCAGGTGGACTAACCTAAGCTAGCCGAGGAGAGCTCACCCTAGCACTGAAGGAGACTCCAGAGATTGCCCAGAAAAGCCAATGGTCTCTTAGCTGTCTCAACATCACAAACTTTGCAGATGCTGGCAAGAATATTTCTGCCTTGCCAAAGGTCTGAGAGTAAAAAGACACCCCAGGTTTCAGGGTAAAGCTGCCTAAGGGATGGAAAATATGTGACCCATCAGATGATACTAGAATGCAACTCTCATCATATTTCGTCATTAGCTAAGTTGGCTAGGACTAATTACATTGTATATTCCACCAACATCTGGAAACCACCTGTTTCCCACTTCTGGCTGAAATCAGAGTTGAGGAACAAATGGTCTTCAAAACTTTGTGGAAATGCAGCTTTTCATTATTGCTGACCATTGTCCGTGGTAGCTGGAACAGATGGGACCTAGAGTCGGCAACATCTGGAGAGTCAGAAACATCTGGAGAGCTACCTTTGTCCACCCCTAGCCTGAAAGTACCACAGAATACCACACACCAGACAATGCCACGATTTTACCCAAGATGTGTGCAATAAAAACAAAGCAAGTGTTTAACATGCTTGTCTTTCATGGTCCAACAGGACGTGACGGCAATAATTCCATACATTTAAACATAGAACTGCACCAGTTATAGTAGCAAATAGATATGGGGATCTGAATTTAAAAGCAAAACACAAGCACAGGAGAATTGACACTTCCCACATTCTGGTTTACCCCCTAGCAATTCTTCTCCCAAAGGACCAGGAGCCCCCCCCCCCAGGGCGAAAGCACCTACCTATAAGATGCTGGAAGAGACAAATGCAATTTTGCACTCCTCACTTCACCTATATACACATCAACTTTGAAATGTTACTCTTTTTAAATACAACTGGCCATACTGGCTGGGGTATCCTAGGAGTTATGCTGCAACCACATTATTCCCCCCCCCGCAAGATCTGGGCCTGTTTACATATGAAATCAGATCTCTCCCCTTTTTATCCTGTTAGACCCTATCATGCTCCACCACCTGCAGAATTATCTCCATTGTGTTTTCATCATCTCGGCCCTCATAAGTAACAACAAATGCAAGCTGAATTTTAGAAATTAAGCATTTGCTTCCTTGAATCCCTCGATCTGTGCAGCTCCTTCCCTCCAAAAAAGAAGAGCGTCAGAGCAAAAGGTGGCACTCTCTGATCCTCTGTCTCGAGCTACTTACGGTGCAAAGGAGGTAGAAAGAAGTACAAAGCTGGATGAAAAGAGATAGTAGGACTTGGCCAGCTTTCAATGATCTTCAGTTTGCCGCCGCCTCCTTCTCCTGATGCCTTTGCTAGCAGCTCCTGCAACTGCTGGCTTATATCGTTGCAAGTTGGGTGAATCAAGGGGGGGGGGAAGAGACTCCTCCTCTCCCCCCTCCCCACCTGCCTCCCTCCCTTCCTCTCTCCGCCACTCACTCACTCATTCATTCATTCACTCACTTACTCATCATTTGCAGATCAATCCAATTCTGTATCAGCCCACCTTGATTACCTCTGAAAGGAAACCATGCTGCACATACTAAGGGAACCAAGAGGAAACATAAAGGAGAACTGGATGAACTCTTGGAGGGGTAGAGTGGGCAGGTAAGAAGTTAAGAGAGATAGGAAAGATTGTGATAAAATTGAACAACTAGAGGTTTTGATTATCATTTATGGTGAAAGGGTGGTAAGAACCAATCCATCCATAAGCAGTTGTGCTTACAGTAAGAGTGAAGACATAGATTATAGTTTCAGAGTTAAGAAATCACAGTGCCCTCTGAAGTGGATGCAAGTTTAAGATCATTCATCATCAACACCAGAAACAGGCTATATTCATATAGTAGCAGATGTAATCTGCCATCACATTTCACAACAGCCATAAACATATTAAAGATCTTAGAATGGATGGTCACTTCCAGATTTCAAGAAATAGTATTTGCCATTTACCCAAAAATGGTATTCTCCACCCCAAATGCAGTTTATTTGTACTCTGTAGAGTTTTCTAGAAAGGCAATCCTCCATTTCTCTTTCCCAATTTATTGGAATAATGGAAAAGATCTGTGGGGCCAACAAGGGTGGATCTCCTATGAAACTAACAAAGCTTAAGCCTCAGGGCCCCTAATCCTGAAGGGGCCCCAGAAGTGACTTTAGTTCACATTAAAAAAAAAGAGCAGTGATCTGCTGTGGTGCAATCCCATTGAAGAAAATAATTTCAATAAACCAGGGTCATTTTTGACTGCATCTGCTATGACTGAGAATCCTTAGAAATTGACAACGTCCTGGTATTTAGAACAAATTTAATTTTCTTTTCCCCTAGTGAGACTGTAGCAACAGAAAACAAGAAGTAGTTTTGTGGCTCGTTAAAGACGAGTTTTCATAAGTCAACATGTGCTTTATCAGATGCATTCAGTTTTCTAATTAACAGAAACTGCATCCAGCAGAGGAGTAAATAATTGTTTCTCAGGAATTGAAAAATAACTAGATAATGTTAGCGTAATATGCAGGCCTGATGCTGTGAACACATTCCTAAACTTGCCAAGTTCTGCCAAAATAATTTCCCTTGGAATCTGGCTGATCATTCTATACCATGGAGAGAAACTGGATGAATTATTTCTCTTGGAATCTGGCTGTTCATTCTATACCATGGAGAGAAACTGGATGTTCAGATCCATTTATATGGCCTATGAAGAGTATCAGAAGACAGAGGTAAAGGTAAAGGTAAAGGTTCCCCTTGACAACTTTTGTCCAGTCGTGTTCGACTCTAGGGGGCAGTGCTCATCCCCGTTTCCAAGCCATAGAGCCAGCGTTTTGTCCCAAGACAATCTTCCGTGGTCACATGGCCAGTGCGACTTAGACACGGAACGCTGTTACCTTCCCACCAAGGTGGTCCCTATTTATCTACTCGCGTTGGCATGCTTTCGAACCGCTAGGTTGGCGAGGAGCTGGGACAAAGTGATGGGCGCTCACTCCGTCGCGTGGATTCGATCTTACGACTGCTTGGTCTTCTGTCCCTGCAGCACACAAAGGCTTCTGCGGTTTAGCCCACAGCGCCACCACGTCCCTCTCAGAAGACAGAACAGTTGAGAATAACTTGGCACTAGTTTGCCACTGCTTTCTCCCAGATGATGATAAAGACTGGGGCTCTTTTGATCAAGGCTAGATTCTTGAGCAGGCTAACAAAAGTCCTGTCCCGAGAACTGTGATTTTCCTAAGAAGGCACTGTTCTGGTTCAGTCTAATTTTTCTTTTCCAAACTTCTTGTTAAAATGGCCCTTCTCAGTAGCCAAGTTCAGGTTTTGTGATTTTTCTGATACGATGTGACTTGTGCTGAAGAGGTAGGCGCTGAAGAAAAAGTTGGTTTTGGTCTTAATGATGTGGCAAATGGGTAGGAGAGGAGGCAGTCCCTGAAGTAGCCTGAACCTAATTACCTAATTGACTGGTTGACTGATCAGTTGGTGATCACTACCATTTTAAATTGTGCCTAGAAAAAAACTAGGAAGAAATTTTAAGTGATGATCGTACTTTTTGTGGAATACTCTCAATGGTTAAGATATTTGGCTGTGGAGCTAGAGACTGGGAGTTCAGTTCCCCCACTGTGCCTCCTACGAATAGAGCCAGCCTGTATGGCTTTGGGCAAGCTGTACAGTCCTAGGCCACCCCCAGAAGAAGGCAATGGGAAACCACTTCTGGGTATGAAAAAGGGCCACTCCATGAGTCAGATTGTACTTGATAGCATATGATTACTACCGTGTTTCCCTGAAAATAAGACAGGGTCTTATATTAATTTTTGCTCCAAAAACTCATTAGGGCTTATTTTCGGGGGATGTTTTACCCCTTTTCATGTACAACAATCTATGTTTATTCAAATATAGTCATGTCATCTTCTTCTTGTTGCTGCACAATGGTGAAGGGCGGGCTTTCACTTAACTAGGGCTTATTTTTAAGGTAGGGTCAGTATTACGAGCGTCCTGAAAAAATCCTACTAGGGCTTATTTTCAGGTTAGGTCTTATTTTCGGGGAAACAGGATAGTACTATTTCATACTCAGTTGATGGCTTTTACAATTATTTCCTTGAAACTGAAACTATTTTCTCTATACTGGAAATGATTGACACCTTGATACTTCCATTCTTATGTTAACGAATCGTTGTCATTTTGTCTGTTATTTGTATCCTCATCTGACCACAGAGGTATGCATAAATACACAGGACAGGTCTGTGATGATGGATTTTGATCCATGAAAGCTCGCACTGAAATACAACGGTTAATCTTTAAAATATAATACATAACGTTTTGCTTCTCCCCTTCTTTGGTCTGTGGTGCCGACTGTTTTGGGCAGCCAGTACAGAATCATTACATATAAATTAGGAGCGGAATATATGTTTCAAAACATTATCTTGTTCTTTATTGAGGGAGGACAGCTTCCACACCCCGTCAAAATCACCATGCACACATACACAGAGCGTTGGTTTCTTATTCCTGGCGAGGTCTACAATTATATACGTCAGCAGGCAATCCTTCTATCCTCTTAATTAGAAAGACAACTGATTTGCTAATTAATCATTGCTTTCATGTCCAATGCCCCATTAAAACTCTGATTGCACCAGAGAAATCTTTCCCAGCCTGATCAATAGTCATCCGAACTCTCACTTTATAGACTGATTAGTTGCCCTTTTGTGGCCTGGTTTCAAGAAAAATGGCAACTTTACTGGGTAATATTTCAGGGTTTAGGCATCGCGAATCACAGGGCTGAACATTGTATCATATAACCCCAAGGCTCTGCGGGGTTTTGTTCTGAATTAGACCTGAAAAAGCAAAGTTATTGACTTAGTGCCCTTTCCTCTTCTTTCTAATTAATTCTTAAATTCCGTCCTTAACACACAAGCACTTTTAAACACTAGGCTGTATAATGCAGTTCATTGGTTTTTCATGTCTAAGCACAACTAAGCAGGTTATGTCTCTTGGATTCTGTTGGATCTTGGCTTTCTTTCTTCAAGTTTTGCTGTTAAGATAGGCCTGTCCTAACCATGCACACTTCATTCAAGTTGTACTCCAGGATTTGCTGTAAAGATAGATGCAATGCGTAAAAGTGGCCATTTCCTTCAGACTGTCCTCACAGAATTTGTTGTCAACGTAGGCTGGACCAAAATGTGCCTACTCTCTCTGTGTTTTCTTCACCAGATTTGCTTTTCAGACATGTCTGGATTTCACTGACATTGTTAGGACTCAACCATGATATCAAGGCAAGCCTTGTGTCTACGTAAAGCTGTGAAGGGATTGATTGTCCTAAAGGTTATCACACCTACCCTTTCCTGCTTTCATTTCCTCCACTGTCATTTTAAGGAGACAGCCATCAATATTGATCTCTGTCTTATAAAGTCCCCCAGGGGCATTTCGGAAGGGAGCTGATGGTCCAAGCCCCTCTGAGAGAGTGAAAGCTAGCCTTATAGGTAAATACACAAGGCAGGGAGATGATGTGGCTCCATCTGACAAATCCTATCACCGATATCACTTACGGCTCAAAACAGCCCTGACAAATCCATTCTCAGCAGCCCCCTGACAAAATTAATAAAATGCAAACTTAGTTGTAGTCTTATAACCAGCCGGTGAACTCATCCCCATCTGGTCTAATGGCTCCAGCTACATAAGGAAGATTGAAAGGTGCTATCATCTTACACATCAACAGCTCCCCATCGTTAAATTGATGGATGGGGGGGGGAGGCAAGGCAGCAAGCCTTGAACATCCTGTAGACTGACATCGGAAAGCTTAGCTTGGAGAAGTTGCTTCTTTAGATATAGTTTCTAGAATTTTCCAACCAGTTTGGCCAACTATAGTCCAAGCTGCTTAACTTTTCCACGCTCTGCTCCAAACACACCAAGATGTTACTGCTGAATAGGCTGCATCCATATGTGGAAGGGTTGTGTATATCACTCCAGATGTCAGATCTGAAAGTCAGATCTTCACTTAAACTTAAACTTTCCAGAAGTTGAGTTTGGATTGTGCAAAGAACAATGGGTGGTTCTGAAGATATGGCCACATCTGTACCCAATGCACTAAACGAAGAGTACAGAACTCAGAATTTTCAATGTGTTTGCTTTTTAGTGGTCCACATGGAGAGGATGTTTTGAGTCATCCTCAAGACTTAGTCTTTCAATAAAGGCTACATGGCAGAGGACATTTCTTTGACCATGATAATGTCCCATGCCCTAGGCAGTGAACTGAGCATACTTAGGGATTGAAAAGAGTTTGACTGAGTTTGAAACACACACACACACACAATTTTGCACTTCTTAAGAACTGTTGCAAGATAAATGCTCCT